TCTTTCATGTACAGTATATATTATGCAATTAATCTTTGTTTGTTTTGTTTATTTCATATTGTAATATTTGTTAGGTTCATAAGCATCAAGGAAACCAAATTTCATTTTCGCCTGATTTTGTGGTCATGGCAATAATATTTATCTTATCATATCTTAAATATACATAACAAAATAGCATTGAAAATATATAACAGGTATGAAAGAGTAACAGAGGAGTTATTGTTTACAAATTGGTGTACCCTGTATTCCCCCACCTTCTATAGATATACGGGTACTGTATAATTGAATCCAATATATTTGTGACGGTAATGTTTATTTGACACACAATAATTTCTTAACAAATCAGTTAATAATTCTGTATGAAATACAGTAATTCAAGATAATAACTAAATTTATTAGTTTCTTGTCCCTGCCCACTTTTTATTTTATGCCACCCTTATTTTTTATTTCTTTAAATACATCGATGGAAACTGTCAATTTTAAATGTTGATTACAGACAACTGCATTTTCCACTTCATAAATTTACTGATTTGGCAATAATATATGTGTTCTTACTGGATGGAGAACAGCTCCAAGAAAGTTCTGATTTGAGGTACCCTCTAGAATGATCGACACTTCACGTTGTAATAGTCTTGATTCAGTGAAGTACTTGGCTTCTTCTGAGTATGGTTCCGGTACATCCTTATCCTCAATCCGCTTTATCATTGGTGCCTTGAAGAATTCAATAAACAATAGTCACACCTTTATTTAATAATTTGTTCTAATCATTATTAAATCTTTATTTACGTTATTTAGATTTCTTTTTTAGATGGTGAATTAATGGAAAGCCAGAAAAGCTCTTGGAAAACAGGGGTGAACTAAGAGTGACAGTCTGTGAATGTTACAATGCATGCCACCACCTTCTGAAGCCTCTTTAGTCTACAAACTTGAAATTTAGGAATTCAATAAAAATATGAAAAATTTGGGGGTAAAACATAAGCATGAATGATACCTTAATGCCAGACAGCATAACTGTAACGTAATGGAATGAAGGAAGCAAGAATGCCCTCACAGTGCAACCATCTCGTACATGTTCAATGATAGCTAAAATGAGAAAAAAAATAGTTTTGAAACATATAATTCATCTAATATTAAAAGACAAATGTAACTGATAGCTAGAATGAGAAAACACCAATGAATATTTGGTTAATCACAATATAGATTAAATGACAGGCATATTAACTTTGATAATAAGATAGCTTTGTGGGAAACAACACCAGTTTATCTCTACAATGTGTTATCTCTGCTAATTATAAATGTTTCTATTTGGGAGCCATCCATTTACATTAATTAGAATGTGCAAAACAGGTAGTACTGTACTACAAATCACTTTAAGATCACTAATACTTCATTTTTTAAAGCTAACATGTCATCACATATTTATTTATTTATTATACCATATTTAAAGAGGGTAACTCTTACAGCACAAAGCTGACTAGGAGGCCCTCTGTAAAAAAAACCGCTTTCCTAAAGAATATACTTTGCACTCTCTTGAAAATGCGAAAGACAATGAATGAAGCCTTAGTTATATGACTAATTTAATTTTAATTTCAAATACGATCTAAGAACAAATTTGTAGCATAGGATAAATTTGATATTTTCTGTATTTTGTTATTACAAAATACAGATGAAAAATCCTCAGCAATATTGTAGATAAATATAGAGCAATGATGATGACATAATTAATGTCGAAATATTGAATCCCAACACGATGGCGTGTATTTCAATACTTGGAGTATGTATTATACTTTCTTATAGAGCATAGATGTATAAAGATACATTATCTAAAAGAAAATATAATAAATGTATGTGGAAACAAACCTTTGATTGGATTTTGATGATGAGAGTCAACAAAATGAAGTGGATTATCTATAACCCATGTAATATCTCTAACGGCATCTGGGCTCTGTTCCTTTGCCCATAGTCCCTTCCCAGCAGCCTTTGCTGCATCCTCAATGTCAATCAGACGAGTCTGATCGCTGTGGGAAAGAAGAGGTTAAGAATAGTAAGTTTTGTGAAATCACAATCACAATAGCGGTAATACCAACATGCTACAACAACAGCAATAGCTGGTAAGGATGCAAAAGTTTGCTTACTCGCTTGGCTTGATCCCTCCACGTCGGACCTCTACCAGGCCTTCGGCTACACAAGATTCAGTCACGTTCTCAGCATTTCCTCCTAAAAACACAAAACCAAATTTACTGTATTATCATTACATTAAACAGATGAAAAATGCAAAAATTATTTTCATTTAATTAATTTAGTGAGTGGTTAATGCAAAATTCATTAGTCAATAAAGTTTTAAATAACTACACTACATACTATATACAATAATATAATAATAGCATATATATAGTACTATTATTATATTATTGGTGCACATTCCAAACAAAAACAGGTTACATACTGGTTTACTAGTGATGACTTCACAATATTCTCCCAATGAAAGAAATTTTACTGGTAAATTTGTCCATAAAAATTCAGCAATGCGTGCAGTGTGAGGCGTTACAATACAGTAACACATATATTTATAGCCTAGGCATAGACTGGAATGATGTTTATTATTTATTGAAAAAGGGCCAGCCTTACTACTTAATCAGTAGTTTTTTTTATTTTACAAACTCTAAATTTGTACTGGTAAGCCAGTTATATTTACTGCTAGAATTGATGGCTAAAACGGCTTAGCTTACCTTTACCAAGATAGATGCAGCCATAAGCTCTTCCTGACCCTGGGGCTGTATACTCGATGGTGAAGTAAACTTCCTTTCCTATCAATTTCTTACGTAAGAACTCTCTTGCTTGCCAGGCGTAAGGCTGAAGAAATTAAAAAATAATTGAGTCTTTGAGTAAATTAAATAATGGCAGAGTCTTATGTGAGAAAAGAGTTTGAACTTTACAACAGCTTTACCTTAACACTGTACAACAGGGGAGGAGCTTCTCCTACTTTGAAAATTGGTGGCGCCAAATTACATAAAATGTATTTAATCAACTGACTGATATTTTTTTATTTTATGTTATCGTTATGACTACAGTTAAGTTTGTCAACAAGCATATAACCATATGCTGCAAATGATGACCATATGGTCTTCATTGAGAATGAACGTTATCAATAATAAGTGGATATTTATTAGAACTTCTATTGGTATACACAGAATTTCCTGATGATTAGTGTGGGCACACTTAGATCTTAATCTTAATGATGGGGCAAATTTGAGTTATAGCAGGCAAAATAAAGAATTTGAAAATACTGTATAATGGAATTTATACTGTCTTCAATACAACCATCTTTCTGTATTATTTTTAATGTGAAGTGAAACTTTAGGAAGATGCTTGCCTTCCAACTTATAGTTCCTGAGTTAAAATCCTTTAAATTGCAGGTTTTTGTTTTCAGACAAAAACAAAAATTGTAAATTACAGAATTTTGTTTTCAGACAAAAAATTCATGTCTAAAGCTTCGAAAGAAGACTTGGATTTATAGAGTACGACAGAGTTTATTACTTATTATTATAGTTAAGTGGCAAGTCACATGACAATCTGAATGAGAATAAAATCTATCAATCAATCAAATGTTAAAAAATCACCTCATCCTTAGTTTCTTGAGAGTCCTTTACATTTGGATTTGCTCGTCTTGCAAGCTTCGGAGCAGTCACATTTGATAAACAAAGTTGTTTCTCTGGTGGTGGCCCACCCTTTGGTACCCCTCTGATGATCACTGCATCACCAGACAAAACCTATGACATAAAAAGAACATCAATTTCATTTCAACAGCTGGCATGTTGAAATTTGAATTAATATGCTTTGAACTTTGACACAAGTTTCAAAGTACAGAAAAGCATATGGTATATGAATGCAACATAATGTGTGAAAAACCAAAGTGACTCAATTCATCCTAATTTAGCAACTAGCAAATAAGAGATCAGACCTATCCCCACCCCCAGGATGGCAATTTGAAGCTGAGGTTTTTACAAACATAGAAAAGTACAACTCTACAATAGATTACCTTATGAAAAAACAATGACTTTATAACTAAACATTTATTCATTAACCATTTCACTAGTTGTAACTTCTTCATGCAAGTCCTGACAATGTGAAATACTGTATACATAAGGCAGTCTGATTATCCATTTCATTAAATTTGTTAGAAGAGTGAGAAATTCTCATCAACAAATCATTTTGATATTTTTTTTACATATTTTGTTTCCTTGTCTTTCACCTCTATCCAATAACATTCTGTTTCTTCCAATTGAGTTTTACCATTTTTGTTTTGTGTTGACTCATATTTCATCTTAATATTATTTTTGGGGGTTCCCCTTGTTTTATTTACCACACTAGTTAGGCCTAGTATGAGTATGGTTATTTAGGGAATTTTTAGTAATATTTCAATTTTTTGGATAACATACGGCATCAATCAATGCCCATCATTAATATTATGATATTCTAAATAATGATAAAACATAAAATTAAAAATGTTTACTTTAAAACAGTATTTAAAATATGTATAACGATTAAGCCTAGGTAGGCCTACACAAACGGCTGGTCAAAGTCTGCCTGACACTCCCACCCACAAGCCATTGCAAAACCAAGCACTACCGTACTACTACTACTTTAAACTCTACTCAGCACATCGTCTTGTGTAAATAAACATTGTTGTACAAATATTAATTTAAGTTAAAAAAAAAATACAATGGCTATGCATTCACTGGGTATACTAAATAGATTTTTTTAAAATCATGGTAGAACACAGTAGCATATTTATACTTCACGACTGTAAGTTTAGGCCCTACTGACTCAATCCAAATCAGTGACGTGGACGGACGTGGCCAGCAACAAAACAGAACTAAGCCGGGTGGTTCGTTGCTGCTCGGTTCGTTCTCACATCGGCCGACAGACTGTACTAGAATAGTGGTAAATTACGACAGTAAACGCAACATTAAGGGTATCTATGATGCCAGTTTAATATATGAATAAAACCAGATATGTAATATCAAAATAAATAATTCTAACAAATATAATAATTGTATATTTACCGATTTGACGACACCGCTTTTCAGAGATGTTTGATTAGCCATCTTTTCCACGTTGTAAAGGGCAGTATATAGGTCACGTGATCACACTGGTTTCACTTGACCGGTTTCAAAGATCTCATTCTTAAAGTCAGGCTCCGGAGGGGAAAAAATGTTGATATGTTGTAGAACTGATTTTTCTAAGACAGAAAAAAGTTGTTTGGACGAAAAACTGGGGAACGGTGAATGAGATACAAATTTTTTAATATTAAAAACTGGGGGAAAAAGGGGCGTAACTGCCCATTTTTACACCTTATTCCCCCAGTTTTTAAATATTAAAAAATCTCATTCACCGTTCCCCAGTTTTTCGTCACACAACTTTTTTCTGGCTTAGAAAAATCAGTTCTACAACATATCAAAAATTGTTTTCCTCCGGAGCCTGACTTTAATTCGTGTTAACCTTTATAAACATTTTGAAATAATATTTAGTTTTTTGACGGTATTTACTAATGAGAAAGAAAAATCGCCAATTGGCGAACACTTAGGATTACATAATACATTTCCTGTAATCAAATTAAAAATAAGGACTTTACTTATGCTATTATTTCATCATTTTAAAATGAGCTATATTAAAAATTGAGTTGTTTTATTCTAGGCCTACGACAGAGACAGTATATCTTTCGAAAGATAGAAAAAGGATAAAAGCACAGATATATTAGTAGTTAATAAATTATAATGTCCATGATAAACTCTTGGAAAACCTCGAATATTCAAGAATATTGCTCATAATCAGACATGGATAAATTGAGACAGTTCCCAGATTTAAACGGTCAATTCAATTTCTTTATTTAGGTGACTGAATGTTTAGCGACTCATTTCTTTAACACAGTCAATTTAAAGATGACTGTGTTTTTGAACAATAACATTTTTAATTTAGTTCTTTACTTTGTAGGCCTATTCAAGTTTAGCTTTTAACCGGAACATTTTTACCAAAATAGGTCATTAATTATTTACAACCATTCTAAACTAGTTTACCATTCATTCATTCATTCATTCATTCATTCATTCATTCATTCATTCATTCATTCATTCATTCATTCATTCATTCATTCATTCATTCATTCATTCATTCATTCACTCACTCACTCACTCACCATCGTTCGTTCATTCATTAATTTCCATTCATCATTTATTTGTTCACTTGTTCAGTCGGTCATCATTCATTCATTCATTCATTCCTTTCATTTGATTGATTGATCCATTCATCCATTCATTATTTAGGGGCTCAGAGTGCTGGAGAACGGGAGTGTCACTGGTAGGTACATAAGCTGCTCCCCCTCTTCTTTTCTTCGGTTGTTTCTCTTTTGTTTGTTTTAGTATTTCTTGGTTTTTTTTTTAAATTTCTGTTCTTTCCAGACTTCGCTTTTCAAACTAATATAGAAACTGTCGCGCTAGGCTAAAAGTCACAACCATTCCACCAATACCATTCCCAGCACATTTTTATGTAAGGTTCTATGTATGTCTAATTAAATGATAGAAACTGCAGTATGTAGGCCTATATAGGCCTAATTGGCAAAGGAATAATTTCTGTCTCCTCTTTTTCTCTTGTTGTTGTTTCCTTTTGTTTGTTCTAGGATATTTATTGGTTTTTTATTTTTGTTCTTTCCAGATTCGGCGCTTTTCAAAAGCGAAGTACACATCAACCATTCCATACCAGCACATTTTAAGTAAGGTTCTATGTAGGTCTAATAGAACTGCATTATTTCCGGCTGGTAAATGGCAAAGGAATACTTTATTATTCTAATTTTCAATAACAAACTAAGCAATTCAAATGTCGAATTTTATTACAAACGTGTTTTAGCATATTCACAACGGTATTTTTCATTCTTGATATTAATTAAACCCATATGTGTTTCCTTTCAATTTCTAACTCAAGTCAACCACACTTTAAACATTTAAAAAAAATACTTTCTGCGCCTTTTATCATTCATTTTGGTTACTTATTTCATCATATTTTGTATACAGTATTATTTTCAGTCTATTTCTGCCCATACAATATCATGGTATTTTTGTGTTTATAAATTTATTTGGCCACTGAAAAATACCTCACAACTAACTGACCAATGACAATTAAGTTTAGAAAATTGTCGACCTTTGACATATCAGCAGCCATTTTAGAAACCGGCACGGCTAGAGAAACTGTGCGTCCGTGCCGAAAAGGAGGCCCTAAAATACATCCTCGCAAACAGAATACCTAAAATGCTCTCGAGGTTAGCGTTAGCAAATGGTAAATTCTATCTTTGTAACATAAATTTATAATTTTTTTCTCTTTTTGCACTATTAAAATGATGTTGATTTCTACACGCTCCTGGCTTGCTGGGCCCTTGCCTTTCCTCACACACGGACAGTCAGGCCAGGCAGCGCGGAAGGCAGGAAGGCCTCCTGACTGAGTTCACACCTAGGCTAGCTGGGGCATCAGCAATATGCGAACTTCCTTTTCATGGCTAAGCTCCGAGGTTTTTTAATAGTTAAGTCTTGTTAACCACATGGGATGATGGGCTAAAACTAAAGTAAGCAAGGTTATAATTGTACATTTCTTTCCTTTCGAAAATCGGAAGGAATACAAAACGAATCAGTGAGTGTAAGTTACCTGCTGGCCAGGGTGGGCACCCTGGCTGGTTAGGCCTAATAAATACTTCATGTACTGAACCATCATACGAGACTGTATAGTGAGGCCTGCACGTGAAATATAGTATAGGCCTATCCGCAGTACAACAATTTTGCCGGGAAGTCTGTCCGTGCATTAGGGAAAATCAGGTCCGATTCCTGTGCAGATTTTGCCGAAAATTAGGCTTTGACCTAATCTTAATATAAACAAGATATTATGCAGTATTTTACGATTCTCCTCACCTATTTTCCTAGCAATTTTCTGGGCGAATTTGAGCTGGTTTTTTAGATCACCCAGGCAATTAGAAAATTTACAGTATGGCCATCATAACACACACCAAACAATCTTCAGTCAGCTCATAAGAGGTTCAGTAGACAGAAATATAATTATTAGAAATTCATAAATATTTCTATGATTATTTTTTATGTATCCAGCCTTAAGTCGTGACAAATCCTACAGTAACAAAATATATCCTCAATAAATTCACAACACTTGGGTGCAGTAGTTGTGTCGACTTCCAGATAAGAGAAAGTTATCAAAACCTAGGCCTATCATAGTCTGCATGGAAAAAAAATTATTATTTCGATATTTTATGAAAGTTAAAAAAAATAATAATTATGAATATTTTTGCCACCAAACAATGTGTAAGTTATATATTATAAGTGCCTATTTAAAAAAATTAAATTCAGGTATACAACATGCACAACAAGCAGCCTGAAGGGTGAAAATGTTGAACTACAGTATATAATAATCATGATCTAATTGTATGCATATACCATAACTTTTAATGTTAAAAAATGCTCTTTTTTTAACAGCAAGTGAGAAACACTTCTTTAAATTCCAGTGGTGCATCAGTTTTCAATGTAATTATGCTTTGAATAGTGAAAATATAGAATTTAGATTATTATCTAAAACAAATTTTAAATAATTGATGATTACTTAGTTTATTGAAAAATGTTTATTTTTTTCTCAAAATTTTAGGTGCAGTTTTGAGAACTGTTCTCCATTCTGCCCGACCATGGTAAGTAATTATACAAAGCAAAGTGCTTAAACAAAATCAAAACAATTAACCCATTCAATGTTTTGATTCAAAATCGTCAAATCGTTTACCTTGCTAATACATTGTACTGGTTTTTTTTTTCAACTTGAAGAAAATAAATGATTGATTGATTGATTGAGGTTAAAAGAATGAGAAAAGTTGAATTGTAAGCTAATTTTTATGTTTTAACTTGTCCTGATCACTTACTGCACAGTGTGGCTCTCAATTACTGGTTTAGTAATAAATAATATTAATGAAATTCCAATTTGTTTTCCAGCGTTGTCATGGCACCAAAATCCCTCTTGCATACAAGTCAGGCCCACAGCATGCCTGTAAAAGTACCCGAGGAGGGAGGTAAAGTTAGGCTTGGTTTCATCCCTGAGGAGTGGTTCACCATGATGTACAAGAAGACTGGTGTAACAGGTAGAGTTTTGACACGCACAATATTTTTATGTCAAATCATAGTTTATTTATTTAGTTATTTATTAGTTTTTTGAACACAATTTTATTATGTCAAATCATAGTTTATTTATTTAGTTATTTATTTAGTTATTTCATTAATAATACTTTTTTTTTTATCAACTTGTGATTAGGTCCGTATGTATTTGGTACTGGTCTGATATTATACATGTTGAACAAGGAGCTCTACATCCTTGGTCCTGAGACGATACATGCCTTTGTTGCCCTGTCTATGGTTGTATATGGTATTAAGAAGTTTGGGCCAGCCGCTGCTGAATGGGCCGATAAGCAGACCGCAGTAAGCTTTCAATTTTTTTTAGGGGCAGTATTTCTTGCATGTTATCAAGTTAACCACATTATTTTAAAGATGCTTTCCAGCTAGCAGTTATATGTGAACTTCCTGACAATACATTTAACAAAGTAGAGCACAATGAAACATTGTGATAAACTAAATGATAAACAAGTTAGTATGGCTACTCAACTGACATCCATCTCATTGAATGAGGTCGGCCGGCACTGGATGCAAAAGATCGTAACATGGAGGATAAACAAGGCGGTTCTACTACGGATCTAGGCCTGCCTTGCCCTGAGTTGTTATTTTGATAAACAACTTAAATAACAACTCCCTGGCCTTTTTATGACATTTTATGGCTGAGCGAGCGCCATAGTATATTGGCTTAAGATAAGAAATTTTGTTTCATTGCTCTATGACATCGTGGAAATCACATTTTTCGTGAAATTTTCGGGATATTTAAAAAAATCGGGAGATATTAATAAAAATCGGGAGGGCGGGAGACGGCCTAAAAAATCGGGAGAAACCCGCAATTATCGGGAGAATTGGGATCTCTGTGTGTCATAACTTAGCAGTATTTCTTGCATGTTATCAAGTTAACCACATTATTTTAAAGATGCTTTCCAGCTAGCAGTTATATGTGAACTCCTGACAATACATTTAACAAAGTAGAGCACAATGAAACATTGTGATAAAGTAAATGATAAACAAGTTAGTATGGCAAATTTTTCAATAGTGTTTTATTTAATGTTAATTCTCTCACTTTCAAATTGTTTCCTGTGACTGAGTAATTTTGAACCATACTATGTTATTTATTTAAAGAATGTTTTGTAAAGGTGGTCCATCCATCTAAAGTTAATTAATCATTAGGGACACTCTGTGCACACAAAGTTAGACAATATCATAGTACAAAACCTATAAACCATTTTAGATTTTAAAAAACTAATGTTTACAAAAATAAAAGATAACTTATAGTAAAACCTCCCAAGAAAGCAGGGAAGAATAATAAATCCACATTTATATGCATAATTAATAAATATAATTATTTAAAAGCTCATTCCGGGGCAATGGCAGGAACCACCTCCTCCTTCAGCTCTTCCTTTCTACACCTCCAACTATTCCTTCTATTCCTTCTTTTCAACTCCTCCTCTTCTACTCTTCCTCCAAGTCATTACTATTATTTTATTGGTTACTACTTTTACTCTGTGCATCTCTATGTCTTATAGAGTCAACTTGCAAATGCTTATGAGCAAAAAGACAAATCTTTATCAACATATGATGATGCCATCAAGGAAGAGAAGCTAGAACAGTGGCGTCTTGATGGAAGACACTACTTGTTTGATGCCAAGAGGGTAAGTGTCCGTGTGATTAGAAGCATCTTAACAACCAAGCTACACTCTGACGAAGTTCAATATGTGTGAAAAATAATTATAATAAGCAAATTGTCACAAAAGCTTTCCTGTATTTGAAGTTTTACAACTTCATAAGTTAAACTATTTTACCTTTCAAAAATTTATATTATACAATTTTACGTTTTTGTAGGAGAATGTTGAGCTTCAGCTAGAGACTGAATATAGGGAAAGGCAAATGCAAGTAATGAATACTGTGAAAGCTAGAATGGTAAGATATCGTAATTTATTTTCAAACGTTATATTATTCTCTTTGTGTTTTGAACTTGCATAATCTACACCATCAACACACTAAACTCTGCTAGAATTGTTTTTATATATTTTATTAATTTATATTATATTAGGAGTAATTGTGTGGCCCTGTATATGTTTACAAACAAGCATTTATGAAAATAAAGAAATATTAAGTAATACTTAGTTACTGAGCTCTCAAGCCACGACCAGATCCAGTCCTAGCCTATTCTGTACTACTCTACAGCTAGTGGTTGCTTGAATCTAGTATTCATTACCTTATGGTATATTGGACAATAAATAAAAACGGGCTTAGATCTAGCCATCGCTTTAAAGCTGGTAAATAGCTAGACGAAGACTCCGTTTACGGTTTTAGGGCAACCATAAACAAAATATTTTTCTCTTCCTTTTTACTCGATTGTATTACATAGAAGGTACTTGTTTGGACATTTTTCATAGCCATAGTATGGTTTTGCTCAACCTGCCAGTGCTTGATCGTGTGAAACGGATACACATATTATTTTACATTTCGAAGCCAAATAAAACTTTCTTTAAACTGATTTATTTTTGTTAAATTTATTTCAATATACACTTGATTAGTATATCCGTCATTTTTTGTTTGGCAAGCTTGCCATCGTTCTATTGTGGTGCCTACGAGCCCTTAGGCCTAGGGTCCTCATGATAGGGACTGCAGTTTGAGGGCTATCCTATTTCAGGTATTACTAAAAAAGAAATGACCGACCAACCGATGATCTCGATTTTTTCCATTTAAGGGCAACACAACAATTTTTTTTTGGCCTTATTTGTTAGTGCTTAGTGCTTAGCTAAGCGAATCATAGAAAATTTACAAATGAAGCCTCAAAAAATACTTTTGAAATGTATTACTTTAAAAATATAAAGATAATTTGGACATGTTGTTTAAGTGATGATGGTGTTTAAAGAAGGCTAATTCTGAAAGGAAAAAATGAGGGAAAATCAGGCAAGCACTACTTGCTATTTGTTAGATGGGGTTGAAGTGCCTCTTGAAAGAGATTTAATTTGTTATTAGCAATCTGGTCAATCTCCATTCTTTCGTACCTATTTTTAAAAGTGACAAAATATATACAGATAATATAAACAGTAACAGCAATTCACTTCAGAAAAGTACATCTCCAGGCAGTCCTTTGTTTACTCAAATATTCAATATTTGTATGTTAATTTTCAGGACTACCATATTGCGGTTGATGATATGAAGCGAAATAAGGAACAGGAACACATGGTAAAATGGATTGAGAAGAATGTAGTTGAAAGTATCACTCCACAACAGGTAAATAATCTAAATTCAGTGTTCATAGTGTAGTAAAACGCGCCCATGTTCGAGGCATTCCAAGAATAGTTACGAACCAATGCATAGTTATGTAATTTTCAATTTCTCTAATTTTTATAACTGCATTTTGTTCAGTTCATTATATATTTTGTTCCTGTTTGCTGTAAAGAATTGAAAAAAAAATGGAAGTAGACCAGGTTAGTAAAGTGGGCCAAACCAAATTGCAGAAATTATTTTTCTACATGTATTTCTTTTTATTCCTCAGGAGAAAGATATTCTAAACACATGTATATCCAACTTGAAGAAGCTTGCTGCTACAGCATAGTTCAGCATCACACTCAAGAGAATTACTTCTACCATATATATTGTGATTAGTTCCTACCAAATAATAAATTTAACAAGAATCCTAGAAATTCTACTCTTGTAAGATACAAGCAATATTAGTTTCAAAGTGTCTGGTTTGTTTTTTTTGCAAGCAATACTATCTCCTTAAATGAATCAAACATTACCAGCTTGTCAGATTCTCTTTTATTCCTCTGTGCTATTCTCTAAAGCTATGAAATTCCAACAGACTCCATCAGATGTTAATAGCGACACACCATGTGCTTGTGTATATATTCAAAGAATTTAAATGCTAAAGTTCTTATTAATTCTATCATTAAGACTGACCTGAAGTTAGGTTTCAATAGCAACCAGGAAATGACACGCATTACAATGTCATGCAAGTGAATTCCTTTTGTTGTTTACACTCTTGAATTTAATGTTTCTTTCCAATTCAAACTGTCTTGACGACTGGAGTGTGATTAAAGATTGATAACATTATTGACATTGTGGTTCTGTCTTTATTCTCTTTGTCGCTCTAGCATATACCTACTTTAAGTGGGAAAGTTGTCCAAACATATGGGTCTGACATTGGGGTGGCCAACGTGGCCATCAGAGCCCAGTGAGGGTCCAAGGGAAAGCTTCTAGTGGGGTCTGGACAGTAATGATACTCCTATGAAAGTTTTACCAATAATAAGTCTAAAATCGATTAAGTCAGTCTTATAAATCATAGTTATCAAAACTTCTCTGGGCTTTGCAATTTGTTTCTGGACGTCATATAGGCACATATTACTAAGCCTTGCTGATAGCAGACGAAACGTCAAGAAATAAATAGTAACATCTTAATTTTACTCTTGACTTTGGATCATCTAAAAGAACCTTTAGAACACACTTATCCTTTGGATCCAATGAATTTATTCAATAATTTGTTTCTGGACTGTTCTTGGACCTGCCCACTTATGCTGCTGTCGGGCACCACCGCTGGGTTTTGGGCACCTACCGTGTTTTTGTACTTTAAATTGTCTGGCTACAAGAGAGTTAGGAATATCTTAACATAATAGTGAGGTTCTCTGTAGAAATATAGCACCACCTATTCTGGGTGTGCATCTACATTGTGTAACCCACCTAATGAAATTTGATATTTTTCTAAGACTTGGCAATTTTATAAGGATAATCAAAAAATAAATGTTGAGTGTATTATGTTCAACCTGCACGTTCACCTTGTAACTAATCCTATTGCATTATTTAGTATTATACACTATATTTATATATTTCAAGGAAGTATTTTTCATTAACTAATGTTAGTGTAATTATGGTTGAAACATACCAAAAGTAAACACAACACTAAAAATTGATCATTCTTGACCACTGAAGAATAAAGCAATCAAGGGCCATATGTTTAGTTCTTTCATGTCAAACTGTAACTATATACACTGTACACGCTTTCACTCTTAAATCCCAATTCTGTATATATTACACAGCTGGGAAAGCAGCATCAATGAACAAGGACCTCCCAAGCACCTCGACCACTTTCTCCTGCAAACGTTATAGTCTGTTATCTGTTGTGTGCTGGCGTTACTTAGCAGCATTTGATACATTTGTTTATTGAAACAATAGAAAATATAGACCAAGCTTATAAGTAAAAAAAATAAACATACGATATTTTAAACCATGTTGTAAGTACTGGTATAGAAAAGATTCGTAAATGGAAAGCTTTTCTGTTAGTTTTTTTGCTTATTTTATCGACTTAAAGTTTTGAGTTTAGACTTCGTTTGTGGATGATCCATTATCAGACAGGTAGAGCCGTGATATCTGTGGATATTAGTGTAATGACATTATCGTTTATTAACCATAAAAAATCAATTGATAATTTCCTTTGTGCACTTATTGCATTTACCAGAGTCATAATACACATACACATTGTCACACAAATATAAAGAACAGCGAAAGGTTGAGAATTTAATTTTCATACCCCTACAATTACTGTATAATGGATTAACCTAGGTTACCTTCACACCGTGCGCCGGTGCACCGCGGTGATGGTAAACAGTTGTTTGGGTTGAATGTCGGATGTATACAGTACTTTGATGCAATAATAGTTTGTGGGAAGAGCTGGGCGGCAAGGTTACTATAAATTGAAAGCAGGAATGATGTTGTATGTAGAGAGTCTATTGAACTCAAAACCAACGCTATTAGTATTAAAATAGCTGGACAATTGTAGGTAAGAATGGCACGATTACCTACACCATGTCAACTGAATTATGACCGAGACCTTCCATCACCGCTTATGCAGAGTGTGCGAACCACCCAGCCTAGGTATGGCCGTCTACCTTCCAAGAACGGTAGGTCTGGGCCTAGAACCACCCTTGGCTTTTCACGTCTACCCTATGAAAAGCACACGAACAACAGCAATGACATTGAAACAACTCCAGTAAGTAGACTAATTTTAGTTTGTGATTGATTGTGATTCTTTTTTTCTTCTAATTAATTGTAACATACCTATAAAAATATGTAGGCCTAGGCCTAGGCCTATTTATTATTGGTCTACCTAACCTAGCCTACCTAGGCCCCTAGTACTAGTAGTACGCAAGACCAGGCAGGGAGGTATTAAAATTTGTTTACCTCCCTGATTAGACCTAGTCCTAGGCCCTACGCCAAGGCCTAATTTTTATTAAACATTTATCATTATGAAAAATCTGTAAATGCTGGTTTTCTTCAAATAGTTGGTCTTAGACTACTATACAGTGTTTTCAATTAAATCGTTAAGCTGCGTAGCTGTCCTGACCGTCGCAATTAGAAATACTACTCGATTTCGACTGGCCAATCGACATCAACAACAGCTGTCGACGATAGCATGTAGCGATTTTATGGAAACCAGGATTAATAATTGCATATTCACTATGCCGACATTTACAACATTCTCTATTCAATTCTTCAGTACCGCTACAGCTCAGCCAGTTTTCCATCCCCAATAAGAGACAATCCGCCTCAAGTCGAGTTGCCAAATGCCCTGTCCAGGGATGTTTTGGAACAACTGTACAACTGTGAAAGACTTACTGGTACATCATATTCTCTACCGGTGCTACGAAGTAGAAGTGGCATTGAGACAAGTCACACGGTGAATGCCCAACATCTCGATGAACCTACATGGAACCGGTGTCTAAATGCATGGGTTGGTGGTAAACCTGTAAGTTTAAACTTGGGTTTGCTATTTTGGCTTCCCTAGCCTAAAAGTTATATTTTGTTAATCATACAAAATCATACGATTTGGCTTTAAACACAGCTATTATATTAAATTTAAAAAGTACCATTTTAATAGAATCTGAAAATTTATCAATATTTTTAACCAATTAACTCACCTTTTACTGCAAATGATCTAAATATTGTGGTTGATATTTATTTATATGGTTAAATTATATGTAAAAGGGGAGTAAGAAAATTTACCTCAAAATGATTTTATTTGTTTATTATATAATTAATAAATATGAAAATGGTTTTACCCATTCCAGGGAGCCTTTTTTATTATTAAAGAAAGTCTTACTCTAGGTTAGACTTGACGCAAGCAGTCTGCCTATATTGATTTGTGTTACTAAGATTCAAAGCACCCATTCAGTGCAGTCTGTAGCCTTATTAGCAAACCTTGCCTGACTAATTGATGAGTTTTCACTCCTGTCTTTTTAATGAGATTTTTAGTGAGTAATCAGAGCCTGTAAATACTGCTGGATTTATTTAGGCACAATACTTTTGTATATTGACCACTTGAAACGCTCTTGGTGAATTGATTCTGCATCAGGGGCACTGAAGGGTATCATGACTTGAATCTGATGAAAAGGATTAACAATTAAGGTTTTTAAACTCCATTTAGTTAGCATTAGCTCTGTCCTATTACACGGAAAGATTACCATCTATTATTTTATAGTCGACAAATTATTAATGATTCACGGATGTTGGTACAAACACTCAAGTTGTCCCAATTTATGCCGATGCTCTCACAATAATAATATTGACCTTTGCTCTCAGCAGTGTTTGGATATTGATGCAATAATTCTATTAGTATTTTAACCATCACTATGGAGATTATCAACAGAGTTCAAAGCTGAAATATACATAGTGTATCATTAGAACATTAGACTGGCCACTCTGCCTAAACAATTAATGCTTTTTGGTATTTATAATTTATATTAAATATATCCAGTGCATATTGCACAGAGTTTCTATTCACTTTATATTAAGCAAAGGTATAAAAAAAATCAGGAATGCGGTCAATTTAAGATTAAACATGTTCATATTTAATTTCTTCAAATGAAGAAGATCTCAAACAATCCATTACATTTAGGTGGAGACATTTGCGGATTAATTTATTCATTTTTTTATTTAATTGCTATTCATAACGAAAAGAATGAATATAGCCCTAACTTGTCAATTATTATTATTAAGTCTTGTTTTTTTTAAGCTGCTTAAACAATTATTTTACCAAGGTGTCTAGATGCTTAGAGATTAAATATTACTATAAGGTGCAAAACAATTATTTAAAATTCATCCTCAAGACAAAGTTATTGATCAGCTTTTATATAATGTCTGTCTGTTGATCTTTACATTTCTGCCACATTTGTGTCCACATTATGACTTTAGGCCGTTAGAATACTGTAGTCCTAGCAGATATCATGCTGTTTTACTCAAGTAGTTAGTTTGATTTGATTTTCAATGTCATTAGATTTACTCAGAAATCAGTACAAAGCAAAGCAATTAAATTTTCAGCCACGTTTGAAAATACGTCTTTTGTATAGATTTTAATTGGCAGCTATTAAGGTGCACTGTCACGCTCTCTCTTGTTGCTAAGCACTGATAGCCATGACGGAACCAGTCCATTCATCGGACTTGAAGACTTGCCACCCACATTATTATCTCTTAAAGGTGCTTACTGAATATGTTTTAACACAGTGACTTAACAATATATCATAATTCCTTTAAAGTACACCTCTCTTAACCCGAAATTTGGTCAATTTTGGGAGTAGGTTCATACTGTACCCGGGGAATTCTTTTCGCACAAAAAAAATAACGGTAATTGTTTAAACTGACAGCATGTCCTATATAAACTGGATAAATAAGTGCTATATTACTGAATACCATTGCATAAATTCATACCACTGAATGTTTACCAGAGCTTTCATTTGTAGTGTATTAACAAAGGGTTTAGTCACTCAACTAGAGTACCTATCAGGGAGATGTGAATAATTTATACCTTCATGTACATACCAACAACTTGAGTACTATGTACTTAAGCATACCATGAAAATATTGCAAAGTACAAGTGGGTAAATATGAGATCCTGTGGAGAAATTTGAGATCAGTTTACTCAGCATACCCTCTGAAAATTGTCAAAATTGGTAACCATAGAAACAATTTTCATATTTACAAAGCCATTTGCAACTTGAGCCACTGGAAAGAAATTGTGAACATATTTTGTTTAACCTTTCATGACCGTTATTTTATGGATATTAATGTCTAAAAACTTAAGTTAACTGTTCTCATATTATTTGTTGTAGATTATATTGAACTTATAAATTAAATCTAGTAAAATGTATGTACATATAGTTTTTTTTATGAATTTTAAAATGATTTTTTTAAAGTATTAACTGTATTATTACAGTTTAAGGTAATTTGTATTTGCTTGTTTTTCATATTTGATGATCGTATGTTTACATTTGCATCAATTTATAGGAAAAACAATCTTGGACTTATGCAGTAAATCTTAATAATTGTCACATTTTGAAAATTCAGTTTATCATTACAGATAGTTTATAAATTCTCTTTTGACTGTGCCATTTTTTACAATGCCTATTATTACAAGAGTGTTAATAAATTTGTACAATGATATGTGTGATGACCATAGTTTACCCTGCCATTTTAAGAAGAAATCCTCAGGGTTTTTTTTTCAAGATTACATGGCCTATTAGTTTATTCAGTGGTTATTTTAAGATCTAGACCGTTATTTTAAACAGTGATCATGATTTTAGCCATATTTTACAGCTGTTACCATGTTTATTTCAAGATTATTGAACAAATGAATTAATACAGTGAATTTTGACAATTATTTTTGAACCTGAAACCATTCTATTTCAAGATTACTAATTTAATGAATGATTGTGATTTTTTTAAAACTTTTTCTGTAGCTGACAATTAATTTAATTTAATTTATACAGTGAATTTTGACAATTATTTTTTAATCTGTAACAATTCTTATTTGAAGATTACTAATTTCAAGATTTTTGTTAACCATTTTCTGTAGCTATCATGTTTATTTCAAAATTGTTGGTCTAATGAATTTTTAAAAATGCTCATGAATTTTTCCCTTTTTCCAGACCTGTCACCATGCTCATTATGTCAAGATTGCTGGACCCATGAATTTAAACAATCGAGGGATATTTCACTTTGTGGTATGTTCAATTCAAATTCATTATCAAAATCATCTTCGTCATCACCAACATCATCATCATCAATATCATCCTTGTTTTCATCAACATCATTATCACCAACATCATGATCATCATTTATCATATTCTTTATCATCAATATTGTCATCGTCATCACTATCATAATCATCAACAACATCGTCAATCACCAACACGATCATCATCACCAACACCATCATCATCATCAATATCATCATCATCATTATCATCATCTCATCATCATCTATATCAGGATCATAATCATCAACATCATCACCATAATTATTGCAGTAGTTGTTATTACTATATAATTATGATATTTTTTATTACTGTTTTTATGCATGGAGTTATATTTTTTATTACTGTTTTTATGCATAGAGTTCATGATCTTAGATATTGTGATGGCCTTTCTTCTTTTCATATGAGTATTGCATGTAATGTATTTTATTGTTTAAGTGACGGTATGTCCAGTAACAATTGAAAGGTTTCGCACGCGAACGAATTCGTGTACGCATACGTTTTGCTATCCGTAACGGTTCATAGCCAACTGTATTTTTTGCAATCGCAGCGCAATTTAAGCCTAGCCTAGGGCCTTAGCTGTTCTCTTCTCTCATCATGCTTCTCAAAGTTTTATTAGTATATGTAAGGTTTTGGAAATTAAAATTGAAAATTGTAGCCAAAAAATATTTCCTTTGTTTCCCAAAAGCATTGGTTATTTTGTGATAGGCCCTATTGTTTATGACCCAAAAGTGCCTGGCTACAAGTAGGCCTAGGTCCTACACAAAATCCTGACACCACCAAGGTCAAAGCACCAACATTTTGATACCCCAAAATGAGACGTATCCTATCGTAATTTGCTGTCTTCAAATGTCACAAAAATGGCACGTACGTATTCAAAGATACATTTATTTTTTACACTTACGTAAAATGTGAAAAAATAAACGAAGTTCCTACTACTGTAGAAATCCAAATTTTCCCCAAGTGTTTTTCACTTACGTGTAGTGAGCTAGATATGCGTGTCGTCCACACGTTTAGCGGATAGCAGCCGGTGAATGACGTCAAAATGATGACGTATTCATCACACTAACTGTACACGTTCGCGTGCGAAACCTCCCTGTTACACAATATATCAGTAATTTCCCCTTTTGTAGAGGGAGTATGATAGGCTGCCTCCAGTGCCATGTGAACGGTTTCATGATCACATGCATCAAAGAAGGTTTCCAAAACCAACACCTGAAAAAATGAAGAAAACTCTGGAAAAGCCTAAATTTTGGGAGTGGAAAGGTAGAAGGCATGGAACAGAGCCAGTTATACCAACATTTTCAAAAACAAAGCCACCTTTACCAGGTAAGGAAACTGTGTTGTCACTGTAGTTTTGTCTCGTTTTTGTACATCTTCCTTCCACAATTTTGCCCTTCATATTTAGGATTCACTTTCAGTTTTGTTTATCTCTTGCACATTTACTTCGTGATACTTAATCACCATGCAAAGTGTCATAAATCAACTACGTTTCCTCATATTTAGAATAAAATGTGGCAAAGATAAGCCAAACCAGCCACTCGTTACAAAAATCAATTTTTAGTTAATAATACAAGGTTGAAGATGAAAAAGAGAGGTAGAAAATGGTAGAAGAAAAATTTTAATCCAACATTTTCTCAGAAACCATCACCAAATTGTTAAAAATTGTTGTTTTAACAATGAAAATGGGGAAAATAACAGCATATCATGATGTATAGATATGTAAAAGTTAGTTTAGTGCAGTTAAATAGATTAAAAAAATTTTGATATTTCAACATGTTTTGGCCATTATCTCTGAAACACGATTTGCGACGAATGATTGGTTTGGCTTGTCTTTGCCACAAATCCTTCTGTAAACTATGTTGTCTTGAAGGTTTGCATGGCGAATTGACGTTAACAATTAATTTTAGGCTTTCGGTACATCATGTGACTTATGCTACAAGTCTCAATTAATGGTATTTGGATCTGGGGAGGAACCATTTGAGACATTCGATCCACTCATACCCAATACCATCAATTGAGATTAGTACCATATGCCACCATGGTGTACCAAAATCCTATAGTTAATTTTTAAGACGTTACTTTACTTTTATTGCAGTGATGTGTATTTTACATATTTGTCTCAATAGATAGTCGCTCACTCACATGTTTATGTCCTTACTCCACACGGGGGAGAATCTCTATACCTATTTCGGTAGGTGCACCTGTTTCACCAGACATTTTAAGTGCAGGTTCATGCCGAAGCGATGTACCTGACTTCTCTCCACAATCATTCTTCTCTGAGTTTTCGTCTTTGTCACCGTTTTCATCTTTAGGAAATCGTAAGTTATCATTTATCACATATTTTTCATTTTACTTTGTCACATTTTATTTTGGCAATTGCACTTAATTTCATCATCTTATTGTTTTTTTACAGTATTTAGGGCTTAGCTAGATTGTTTTCCATTCCCACCTGCTTGCCTTTTTGCTTTATTACTGAATTTTATATGTCTCACATAATCATCCAATATACAGTACATATATTAATCTATATATATATGTATACAATATATCTATATATATTTATATTATATTATTATTATTTTCGTATTTCATTTTGAGCATTGACACTATTGTTACAGGTTGTAATAACCATGTTGATGAAAGTCGATAGTCATTAAAAAAAATGGTTGACATTTATAGTAGTATTTATATGTGTTTGAAGTAGAATTTTAGTTTGATGGTTCCTCCAGAGTTGTAGGTTCAAATCCAGCATAATGCCACAATTTGTATCCATAGCTAAAACTAGGTCTACTTCATAAGCCTCAATAATGAGCACCACACTGCAGTATCCTGCTAAGCTCTTCCCCTTGGATATTGTTCCTGAAATCTCCCAGATTGACAGCCATTCCTAGTAGAGAAACATAGCTGAGTGTGCGGTTTAGAGTATATGTATGTGGATTGTGCTAGCGAATTGTGTGCTTATTCATGGTTTTCCCCCACCCCCTATGAATAACGTTTTGATTGGTCAGTTGTTCAATTTGATTGACATTCAGGATAGGTTGATTGTTATTGTAGGATGAAGTATTTAAAGAAAAGTTTGAAAAAAAAAATTGTTGGACATAAGTAATGATTAGTTAATGACTCAAATGCTATTCATCAGGCAGACATACATAAGGTTAAGGTGCATCACCACGGAAACTCTGAAATGCTAAGATACACTATTGATTGACAGATTTATTTTCAAAAAAATATGACACATTTCAATATCTTTTTGCATTTTCATCTTAGCAAAGTATTCATTCGATAGTCCCATGAGGGCGATGTACAACATAAATCTTAAAGCCATATGTAATTATATTTCTTGTGAGTTAACTCATCATAGCTCTACGCTATTATCATGACATGTGCTATGTTTTTTTTTACATTTTTATTGATTTTTCCGGATGTTTCCAACACTGAATTGAAGAGATAAAACATACATTAATATGAAAAATTGTATAACGTTACTAAAATCAATTATTATGCCAAATTGTGGTGAATGTGTGTATCATAACAAGAACCTTAAATACCTGATACGCTCCTTATTCTAAATACTGCCCTCTATTTGCTAGAAAGTGAAATGCAAACCAATTTTTGTAACAATAACTGTTAATTCAAGAGTTATTCTATTGGATGGAAATTGTCCAGAGCTTTGTGTTTATTGTTTTAGGAGTCTATTTGCTGCCCTCAGGGCTACTATATTTTCTTTCCTAGTTCTGTGATGACAGTATAAACATTTTGGAGACAAAGAAAGACTTATAAAATGATGATTCTAGATCTGGAAGTAGATCTATGTAAAGTCACTTAACTCAACCACAACTTACAGGTGTCCATCCCTAAGGATGCAATTAAAAAACAATCATGTGTTGTTTACAGTGAAATTTCTCCCTAATGTACATCTGATTAATTTCAAATTAATTGAATCCTCAAAAATGATATAAGCTTAAAGAAATGTTTTTTGAATGTGGTAATTCCTAGAGGCTTTTAGTGGACCAATGCAAAGAGATTCACAATTACATCTTAAATGATGATGTAGCAGACTAAATGACTTAGACCACCGTGGAAATGCTACAGACAGTTAATTACCTCCAGAGGTATTCCATGACAGAAGTAAACGATATATGTCTTTAAGGCAGCTTTCCAAATATATTTTTTTAAATTTATATATGCCAGCATTATATTTCAGTTCTTCAGATTCTCATATTTATATTTAAAATTTTATCTTTCATTGCTATTTATCATTACTGACTCTTTTTTTCTATTTTGTCATGTTCTTAAATCCCTTGACAATGTTTGATTTTTTATTTGTTGTTATTTTTAAAACCCATAGTAAAATATGAGATGTTCAACCTAACTGAATAATGAATTATTTTTAATAATGATAATGATAATAATGTTAGATTCATGTATCTAGTATTTTAATACTTCACTTCATTATCCCTTTGAGAAATTTAATGTTTTCACATTTTTTTTCAAGTGAAGAATTCTTATGAAAGCCAGAATTTCAAGCATGCTATCAAATTTCATAGAAAAAACTTGTATCAATTATTAAGAATAATTTAATGTGACAATAATATTTATAAAATTAATATAGTTTGCAGATGTTCACCAAGAGCTGGTTAACATTACTGTCACCCTTATCATTATAAAACATGAACATGTTTTATAAATTACATTTAGTTCAAAATGATTGAACTTGATTAATTTTTAATTTCAAAATGACAAAATTTGAAATATTCGAAGTGCACAGATTGGATTGGATTTCTGTTGAAAGAATAACACATCCAATTCTGAAGATATATTTCCGGTGGGTTTCTTGAGACAGGTATTATACCGTGAGCCAATCTCTTTTACTAAGAGTTTTACCTCCTTTAACATAGATGTTGCGCACACGAACAACGGTTTAACGTCTATTCCGATAGACAGTGCACTATTTGTAACTGGCATGTCAGCTCTCCACCTGAGAAATATTTTAGCAGTGATTGAAGTGAACCAGAGAATGGGATCAAAGAATCTGAAAAGATCTCGCTGAATCTGTACACATATAGTTGCTACTATTTGTTTAGCCGACTGAGCTATGTTGATGACTTGTAAATCTCGCTTAATCCAAATACAAGTTATCTATGATAACTGTGCGCTGGAACCATTACAAACAAGTAACTTTCAATGTCAGGGTTATTCAAAGAGCCGAGTGACTTGAATTAAAAACCGATGCTAGCTGGGTTTGAACCAGGAGTCTACAGTGCATGAAGCTGGGACAATAACCTGTCATCCAGACACTCAGCTCATCTTTAAGTACCATGTCAAATACTTCAATGAGAAATAGAAAATTCAAATGGACACTTGTTTTTCCAAACACTTTTTTAATAAATGTTTGAAGGTAATTATGATTGAGCTTTTGGTCATTCCATATATAGTACTATGATAGGCTAGGGCTAAGAAAGTACATTTTTTTATTTCAAGCTGACAAGAAATTTCTCAGATATTAAACAATGAATAAAATAATTTGATTATGTTTGAAATTCAAATCTTGAGAATTAACTAAATTCATTTCCTCCAGTAATTCCAACATTGATTTAATTTTTGATATCTGTATTCCATCTGTACCAATATACATCATTCCTGTTCTTCCTAAGAGATTGTCGCCCTCTGTAGTTCAAGAATAATGTAGGACGAAAGGTGAAAACAGGTTGCATACAAAAATAACTAATTATCAGTAAATTTACATGTGTTCACTAATTCAAATTGGCAGTTAATTTGCAAACAGGTGCTCTTTTAAAAAGGTTAATTGTTGCTATGACAATAATAGTAAGGTGCTTTGTTCTCATTATAAAGAGCGGTGTCTGTGAAGCGTTAAAAGTTAGCAGATGCCGAAACCTCTGTCATGGAACCGCTGTCGATTTTTAAAAATTAAAGCGTATTATTTCAAAAATAATTTTGTGTCCACAGATCAAATACACTAAACACAATGTTTCTCAACTGTCGTCAGCTGTTTAGTTCTTGTGGCACTTCTTGGCAAACATTGACACAAATCATTTGACCTGCTGTGATATCTGTTTTTCTTGCAGTTCATTGACAACGAGATGCTCCAATAATCACTGCACTGCGTGTGCTGTATCTCTTCCTTTCTTTTGAGTAATTAAACATGATTCTATTTTTTAAGCAAAAATTGCATAAGTTTGACCTATTATTTGAATGTGTTTGATTGGAAAAACCTTCCTTGTTTATTGATTATCTTAATATTTATTCCTGATTTAATGTACACTATTATAATAACCATTAAAAAATGTTATTACAATTCCTAAAATCGTTAATCGTAAACTTGTAAGATTTTCGTTTAATAATATCTCAAATATTCCCTCCCAACTCTAGCACAAAATTCCTTGTTTGCATTACTGATTTTTTGAAATATGTTTTTATAAAAAATATAAAATTTAAGGTTATCTTTTATTTTTCTTGTCTAAAAAAAATGTTTGCAGGCGGTTCAAAATACTTGAGTGATAATTCAAAAGTCCATGTTTCAAGCTATTATGTTTTCTATTCTATATTAACCTTATGGTAATAGTCTAACAACCAAAACTCATGGGGTGAGTGATATTGTACTTGATGCTGAACCCTGGAATATGACCTAGGTGTAGTTAAAAACAGGTATAACTTCTGTACTCATGTATTTCTGTACTCATTTCAATCTGGATGTGTAAAATTCCCCAAAACAGCAGGGCTCTGAGCGTTGACCCCCACTGGAGTTCTTAGCCATTAGAGTCCTGGGGTCTATGAGGGTTTAAGCTGCTTTCAACCGCCCTGACTAGAGAAATGACAAAACAGATGCCACTTACAGATGCCCTGTAAGTGGCGGGGACTTAGCTGGGGATGTTTGTTAAAATGATGCCCCACATTGCCGGGAGGTGGCTGGGACTTTCACTTGCATGTAACCGTTTTGGAAATTACATCCCCGGCTAAGTCCCTGCTAAGCCTGGGTCCGGAACTACAATTGACAAGTGCATTACCCATACAGGGTACAAAATTAACATTTATTCACATTCGCCAGATCAGGTGATTGACTTTTCAAGTTCACTCGCACAAATACATTTTCACTAGTTCTAAATTTAATTCCAATGCTGGTGCCAACAGGGTCCAGGGAGGGCATTCCCCCACCCCCATCCTCCCATCCCCAAACAGACTGGACTGCAGACCAAAAAATGATAGCTTACCTATTTAAGTAGCATTACATTGATTGCCAGCCCCTAATATTGTGGTCTAAAAAAGCAATTTTGGTCATACATATGCCATAAAACCTCTC